AAGTATGTAGTCCATTAGGATGAGTCACTCTCGGATCCTCCTTCGTGCAGGTGCTAACGGAAAGTACTGTCCTGTTGGCGCCTGGGCTTCTGATAACATCCAGGGCCTTCGACAACATCCTGTTAGTTTTTAACCACAAGCAACATTCCAATATTTTAACAGTACTTCAGAATGAATTTTTTTTTTTAATTTTGAAGCATGGAATTTTGAATTCTGTACAAGAGTTTGGATTTCTGCACTGAAATTACATAGCTGAAACTTCATGTAAGTATGAAATAAAACATGTGTTTTAAATAGAAATAAACTACATTTAAAGTGTGTTATGTTTGTAAACCAAAGATGTCTTTTTCCACTTGCTTCCCAAAACCCAAAATCTGAAACGATATGCCAACCAATAAAAAAAAAAGCTTCCTCTTGCTCTTTCTAGGCAGAATATAAATGTGCAATATCTGACTTTTCCCCAGAAATTGCATATTAATTTAATTCCATTTTACATTTACATACTCCAGATATTATTTCAAACATATTGGATTTTGGAGATTTAATTTGTATAGCATTAAGATAAGACTTCTTTGAATGTAGCCTCAGTTATTTGGGAAATTGGAATTCTACCATGTGCTTGTCTACAAATAAGGAACTTATATTTCAAAATGTTTAAAATGGAAATTTTGTGTTAGGTATATTCTGCCACATAAAAAAAGAACGCCCTTTTTCTCTCTTTGAAACAATTTTTTCTGATTTTTTTCTTTCCAGGAGATACAAGGGAAGTATAAACCACTCAATGCATACAACTCTGAGCATTTGCAAATAACAAGTCCAATAAAAATATTAATACCATCAAAAAGACAGGCTATTTTTAATATAACTACCATAAAAAGGGGAAAATTTAGGGGCCCTTCCTGGTGGCGCAAGGGGTTAGACCCACAACTGCAAGCTGGCCTGCAGCTGCCTCAGTGCCTGCTGGATCCCCACCCCAGAGGTGACCACATGGCCTGGCAGCCCTCTCCTGACCGGCCCACTGCTCCCCTCAGCAGTGTGCTCTGTCTATCTGCCTGTTCTGCTCCCTGCTCTATCTCTGGCGAATCCATTCACGGCCCCTGCACCTCTGGCCTGTACCCCAGCTCTGTATAAAAGCAAATAATTTTTTTTTGTTGTTAAGGGGTAGGGGGCTGGGGACTTGGACTGACCAGGTTGTAAAGAAGGATTGGGTCTGCTGATGAAGGCCCAAAGATAAGGTGATTAAAGACCAGGCAGGATGTGCCCTACCTCCCACTGCTAAGAGGCTGGCACTGAGGCCTGGAGGTGTAGAAACTCAGCCTTAGCACCCCTTCTTCCAGAGTTCTCAGAATCCACAGATGCTGAGTCATGCTCCTAAGCTCACTAGGAATTGAAGTTCAAGGTCTGGATTTACACACCACGGTCAGGCAGGCTAGAAATCCCCATAGGTCCTGCTTGTCCATGACTTCCCTTTAGGCAAAGCTGCACCGAAACCCAGATTCCTCCATTTCTTTGGAAATATGAATTCAAAGACAGGAGGTGTGTTAATGACTGTAGCTTTTATAGTTTCTTCAAAAGAGGGGTGTACACACCAACCAAAGCAAACATTTCTAGTCCATGGGTTGGGGAGCTGGAATGGCCGTCAGTAAGTGGGCACCCATGGGTGGAGCAGCGGGCGCTGCTGGTCCTTGCTACAGGGGCTTTCTCAGGCCACCGTGCTGGATGGCTTTCCCGCTTTTGGTCACGTTTTTTCTCCTCTCGTTGGCATTTTCAATCGGATTAAAATGAACTCTTGCGAAATGGCAAGATATTGGGTGTTTCCTCTAAAATACAAATCAGGTAGGAGCTCCCTGAAAAGGGATCCGGCCCTTTAATAGCGTCTCCTCTGCCGCCGGCCTGGCGCTTAGTCGATAGAGGGCGCTAGAGAGACATTGCCGGAGCGGAAGGGTTTGTTTCCGGGCGCCGGCAGCTCGGCGGCCAGGTGCCCGTGGTGCTCCAGGAATGGCGGCAGCCCCTACCCGGGCACCTCCCTCAGGTGGTCAGGTACTGAGGCCTCCTCAAGGACCCCTCCCAGGCAGCTTCCCCAGCATTTGAGAGGGAAATCTCTAGCAGGTTCCACCAGCAGACCAACCGGTGACGTCTCTGCGAACCAGGGCCGTGCCTGCCAAGGAGGTGAGGTACAGCTGTGCTGAAAGCTGTTTATAGCGAGTAGTTCTTTATATTAAACTGTTCAAATGAGCCCGTGGCACCTGTGTCTCTCCTCAGAGTGAGCGTCATTCCAGGTGGGAGTTGGCCTTTTCCGCCGAGGAGCATTCAGACTCCCCTGCCCATGCGGCTTCGCCAGAGCCTGAAGCACAGGCTTGGGATCCCAGGCAACAGCATCCAGCCAGGTGACCTAGTTTCCCGCCAAGAGGCCAGACTGGGTGCTGATCACCTGGCGCGCCGCACTTCCGGAAGCAGCCAGCATCCGCGAGGATTAGATAGCCAAGGCGCTGCTGATGTGTTGGGGTGAGTTCACCCTTCCCTGCCTGTGTGACCCCAGGGGACTTGGGATCCGTGTGATCAGTGATCAGTGAGAGAGGGAGTGGCCTTATCATTGCCCCAAAGACCGACTGTGGGACTTTATGCGCCCCCCCCACCCCCAGTCTGGGCTCCATAGTATTGGATATTCTGGTTCCCAGACAGCAATTCAGGTCAATGGACACAGTAAGGTCCCCTGGAGCTACAAACTAAGGCAGATTCCAGAGCCCTGGGACCCCTGGTGTCCAGACACCAGCTGATGGATGAGAGGGAGTTGCCATCACCAGCAGGAGTGGCGGCTACTGTTCCACATGGGACAGGGAGGAACAGGTGTGGGGCACTGAGTGCGCCCTGGGCCTCCTGGCCCCACTGTGACTGAAGGCACAAGCCAACAGCCCTGGCAATCTAGATGCTTCCTGCCGGCCCCTCCTCTCCTCCCATTCTTTCTCTCCAAGTGCCAGATTTGCACCCCAGTCTGAAGCTGTCATGGCCTCCCTGGGCTCCCTCTCCCTGTCCTTTATCTTCACAGACTGGTTACCAAGTAAGTCCCATGCACATCTGATCCTACTTGGCTCCTGCTTCTCAGAGGACCTGAATGAGCACAACCCTCCAAGTGAAAGACAAGTGGGGACGAGGGGGGAGGAATGTCCAAATGTCTACCAACTCTGGCTTTGACACCACATCCTTCTAACATGAATAACTGGAGAATAGGCCAGCAATGCTCCTATCATATCAGTAGGTATGATAGTATCATCTCCAAATCATCTGTAAATGGCATTTCAGAAATCAGGATAACTGACACACCACTGAAGACAGAATACTGAACTCTGAGTCATTTTCATAAAATCTAATTTAAAAAAAGAGAAGCATGGAGAAAAAGGAGTACTCTGGAAAGGGAATCAACATTCAAGGCACATAAATACTACACATGGCTTTATTTTTCTTTGAATTAAGTAGGTTTAGACAAATATGTCTTCATTCACAAAACAATGCATTATTATCAGAAAGCACTACTTACTGATCAGAGTATTTGCCATTATTGAATAATAAACCATTGTACAAATTTAGTTGTCCTCTACTATTAACCTAAAATGATTTTTCAAATACCTTTTTAGAAATACAAAGTATCATCATAAAGTATGATTTTTTAATCCTAAACTAAAAGGCACTGGTAGGGCTTTATTTCAGGAATTTTTTTGCATAGATATCATTGACAACATTGAAGCAGAAGATTGAGTGATTTTTTCCATACAAATTATGGAAGTACAGAAGTACTTTCTCAAGATGTTAAAGTACTTAGGAATGAAATCTCTTTGTTTCCTTGGCTTAGAGTTTGGATTTCTGCTTAAAGGCCTCTTTCATTCTTTTGACAACCGAGAGGTCCCCCATGGCATCAGGCCAGTTGTCATGATCTGTTAAAAAAAAAAAAAAAAAGTAGAAAACCAAACATCACTTGCAAATTCTTAACCTTAGTCGTTTAACCTCTGAGTTTCCACGAAACCAATTCTTGTTATTTCCCCTGGTTCATCCCTTTGCTCAGCAAGAAAAAAAGAAGTGCTTGGAACCAGGGATCAGATCGGAGGATGTGGGGAATTCTGGATTTAAACCTCAGCTCTGCCACTTCTTAGCTCTTCTGCACTTTAGAACCTACCCTTCATTTCCTCATCTACTTAAAGGGGTTAGCCATATCTTTGAAAGTTCTCAGACTTAAATCTGACACCTTATATGCAGCACACTGCACACATTCAAGAAATAATACCTCCTTAACAATAACATATTTTTAAATGCGCTTACTTTGTATCAGGCACTTGTCATTGCCTCTCCAGCATCCATTCTCCATCTCCTCTTTCTAGTGGCCTCCACTTCCATGTAGGAATTCATGAGGATCTGGGGCAGTGACACCTCCCAACCCCCCAACACCCCCACCCCCACCAGCTAAGTCACCCAGTGCTCTCCTTCTGCTTTGGTTACTGGCGGAGAATGGTATATGCATGAGCTGGCCCAAGGTAGATCTCAGACTGTGGCTAAAAATGCTGAAACCAAGTCATTCCCGCCCCTCTTTCTGTCTGTGAAGTGCTCTTGGAAGCAACCAGAGCAGCATGTAGCTTTAAGAGAAGCAGCTATCCTGCACCAGGAGAGTTAGTCTAGATAAAGCCAATGTTGTACCTGCAAACTGATTTCAGCAGTTTCTTATGATTTCATTCAATATATCTCCAATGTGGACTATAATAGCACCTAATCATCTTACCATCCTTCCCCACCTTACTCAGACATATAAGCCACTTATTGGAGAAATAGGAAGAATCAAATCTTAAACATATGGCAAATCTTTAACTTTTCAGTCTCCTCCTTACATATATACTCATACCTAAAATATTTTTCAAGGTTCAAATTCCACAAACTGATGTGCAGACAATAAAACATTTTTAATTTATAAAGCTAAGCTCAATAACAAAGATATTTTCTATGACAAGGAAACTTTCCCTTAAAAATCATATCACAAATGTAAATATCCTGCACATTTTGATGTTCTCTAAGAGACAGCCCTTATCTCTTAAGCATTACTCAGGCAATTTTGAACACTTGAACAGGAAAAGGCATAAAATGAGTGACTATTCATCTCTTGACATCTCACCTGGTATAGTGTATGAGTGATTGTACAGAGACTGGCCTCCATCCACCTCCACCAGCTGACCAGTGATAAAGGACGCTGTAGGGGACAGCAGGAAGCAAACCAAGGGGGAAATCTGCAATAGAAACACACACGTGCCTCAGAAAAGCAGGACAGTGCCCACTCTGACAGCTTTCCTGCCCAGGACCGTAACAGAAATCCCCAGTGGGGGTCACCATGACCTGACTGGACCCAGGCCATGGCCTTTTACTACATGAGCATCACTGAAATCAGGTAAGTGACTAGAGGGCAGGATAAGAGGTGGGCCAGACAGTGGGAAGAAAGCCGCATGCATGAGGCAGCCAACGAGAACACTGTTTTCCATCTTTGCTTGTTCCCACTTCACACCATTCAGTTCCTGCCATTGCCTAACACAACTGGATTTTCTACCACCACCACCTGCCTTTATTTTTGCCCTGTGCATGGTCCTGAGAGCAGAAAGCCAACAACCAAGAGCACAGGTACTTTCAACAGGAGGGACTTCAGAGTCCCCCTGATGGATAAGTGATGAATTCCCAATACCAGACAGAGAAATGGTACAAGGAGATTCCCAGATGGAGCTGTTGGCTTCTTAAAGTGCAACTGCATGTATGCATTACAATCCCTAAGGATGCCCCCTGAGCTCCAGATTCCTAGACCTCACTTGACCACCTGTGATTTGTAGGCTCTGGGGTTGTGTGGCCAGATTCTGCATTTATCAAGCTCCCAAAGCAGGACTGGGACTAGGATAAGGCTAATGATGTGCTCAGTTAATGAGACTCTATGGGCAGACCCTGCATTTTCATGACCTGCACAGTGACACATCCTTCCACTTTGTGTTGGGCCTGGTGTGTTTCCACCCCGTCCTGGTCCTGAACCACAACCAGGCCTGCTTACATGGCTATGCCTCTTTGAGACCTGGCTACGCAGGAAGGCAGCACACACGGCCTTCTCTCCAGCCTGTGCTCCCAGCAGCTGGTATAGATGTGCCAGCTGAGTGTGAGACACACTCAGGCTCTGAAGAATTAGTTCAGGAAGAAGAAATGTAAAATATCTCACTAGACGTTTTTATGTGTTGCTCACATTTTGAAATCATAATGGTTTGGATAGGTTGGTTTCAATAAGATGCATTATGAAGACTAATTTCATATCTTGTTACTTTTCTCAATGTGGCTACTAGGAAGCTTAAATGACATATTTCTATGGCACGGAGCTGGTATAAAATTAATAAAGATTCTCATATCTGTGGGGTAGAATTGAGCTGCCTGATACTATGGAAGCTACCACTCCTGTTTAATCAATGATAACTTGCCCTTTGAACATGTTTTGTTAGCCAACCCATCAAGGAGAGCTCCTTGATCATGAAAAGCCAGTAAGAAACACTCACTTCACTGAGCTCCTTTCTGTGTACAGGTCAAATAACAACCCTCCTACCCATGACCTCTGAAACAGGCAGATGCCTAAACCACCCACCCCCAGAAAAAGATCAGGTTTGTGTTGCTCAAAGATGCTATGCCTGAACAGCAATAATGTGGCTCTGGGGAAAATTTTTTTCTATATTCAGGAGAGGGGAGAGCACAGGGACCATGGTGATGGTAAATTTGGGGTGGAAATCTTAAGGTGTCTACACCTGAGAGGAGAAAGCATACATTGTACAAAAGGAAGAATGATATAATATATATATATATAATAAAAAAGAAAGAAAGGAGAGAAATAAAACAAATTGTTTCATATATTTTGGACTTTCTGCCAACAGGACCATGCACTGAGCAGACCAGAATCACAACTGATTAGACACAGGAACGATCACTATTCCAGTGTCACTGTGGCGGCTTGTTTTTTTTTTAAGATTTTTTAAATTTATGTATACAAGAATTGAGGTATAGGTCAGAGGTGAGAGGGGTTGAGAGGCTTCACCTCTCAACAGAGTGGGGAGCAGAACTGGCAGATCTACTGAAATACCCTGCTGAGGGGAGCAGCCAGTGAGACAGGAGAGGTCTGCTGTGCCATGTGGGTCAGATCCCTGGCCGGGGATCGAATTCGTACTGCAGTGGCTGCCAATAGTTTCAGAGTGCTGAGACTTAACTCCTTGAGCCACCAGGGAGGTCCTTGTAACAGTTTTTAATATAAAATAAACACTTTATTTATAGAAAGAATTGTATGCATCTTCTCCCCACAAATGAGGGAATTTTGCATCCCCAGCTCCTGTTACAAAGTTTTGCCCATAGATGATGCATCAGTAAATAATACTGAATTGCCCTGGAACTATTTGCTGAACATATAATATGAATGATGTCTGGTTTGCTTCTGGGGCTCAACATGGAGGTAAAACGAACTTAAAAATTAACCGCAATTATCAAGCTAACTAGGCACTGTTGTAATATCTTCAGAGGGGGCTTCTTAACTTTCTGTTTGATTTATTTATGTATTAGTTTACGACACTGTACTGATTGAGCATTGACTCTCATTTTAATCTACTGTCTGAATCTACTTGCCAGAGGGACTTGAGGTAGTAAGTCACTCATGAGTTTTAGCGATGACGAAACACCATTTGAGACTAGAAGCTTGCATCCACTTTATCTCTGTGGCAGCTCCTCTTTTAGCTCAATTATTTGCTAGTTTGAACTCTGTTTATTAAAGATCAGAGAGGTCTTTAAAAAGTAGACTTGGGCTCAAATCCCAATACCTTTAGTTTCTTGATTTGTGAAAAAAGCCAGCCAGAGATTCTGCCAAGTTCTGCTTCCCTTTCCCAGGACTATGGAAACATCCCAAGAGCTTGAAACACCCCTGGTAATACTATCAATGCAACTATGTTCTGGAGCCCCTGCCTTTCTCCCAGGGACTGTCATGGAAACTCACTGAGCAGCAGTTGAGCCAAGGGAAGTTCTGCCTCAAAAGGGACACTTTTGGGGAAACCAGAATAACCTGAAACTTTGATATTCTCTTAAAAACTCTATCAAATAGTGCAAACTGTTCATATTCTACATCTCATCACAGTCACTATCATCTTTCCTTCCCTTCACAATCAAACTTACCCCAATACCCATGTTCCTACCTAAGATCTATTCAGGGGATTGTCATGGTCAAAACTATTTCATAATCATATGAGATACATATTGTCTTTTTCACTGTGCTGACATTTGCACTGATGATGCCAAAGCAGTGGTGGGAAAGTGCTGAAACCTCAGCACGAGGAGGACCGTCAACCTAAACTAGGGCCTATCACACAGGGGATCCTTTATTCTTCACCTGCAAGTATTTGTGAGGGGGAAACCTGTTTCACTTTAGAATGTCCATGGTGAAATAGTGAAAATGATTAAGCACGTTAATCTCAAGCATTGAACACAAGTCTTGTAGATCATGTATGACAAAGTAGCATCACAATGATGATGCAAATCTCTGCAGCACAGAACAGAATGATTGTCTCAAAGGCCTACCTGGTGGCCTAGGGGTTAAATCTCAGCACTATGACTGCTACGGCCTGATTTCTATCCCCAGCCAGGGAGCTAATTCACGTATGCTAGTACACTATTGCTAATGTTTAAGAAAGTGACTGGTAACTAAGGCTGACTCTGGGTAGAGGTTTCACACAGAATTATTTGCCTTGTGTGCTGACATTTGCTATTTGATAAAATAATGTAGGTGAAAAGTACAATGAAGTAATAAAGCACATTGTTCTTAATTCACACTACATTCTCTCCTGAATAAATGACACTAAGGATAGTAAACCCAGAACTGGACATTCCCAAGAGCTGGAAAGAGAGGGGGAAATGGGTTGGTAGGCGTGGGAGCATCACTTCCCTCTGTCAATCAGCTGACCTAAAACCAACACCAAGGGATACAAATTTCCAAAAGCACAAAACAAAGTAATCCTAACCCCACTTAGAAATACACATTACCTCCTCAGGAATGCCAAGCCGTTTCGCTGGGATTCTCTGAAAATGTGATTCAAATAAATCCTTTGCCAAATAACCATAGTTGTCAAAAGCAGTCGGGGAATAAATGACTCCCTATGTTTAAAAATAAAAGAGGAACAAAATTAAGTGTATGAAATTAAATTTTCCCTTGTAAAGGCAGTCTATCAACCCATACCAAGAAATTAAGTTTAATAGAAAAGTTAACATTTCTAATACTAATTTTTCTCCACATTTTCAAAGTACAAATTACCCACTATTACAAATGGATTCTCTGAAAGGCCACTTTGTGGTAGCCTGTCCTTCAGCGGCCAGCAAATCCCTGGACTTTTCAGAAAAGACTTGGTTTCTGTATGATGACATGAGGCCCCAGAGGGCTCTCTCTTCTCTTTCACTAGGTTGCAGAGGAGGTGTGGGCCATATTTAAGTGAGACTTAGAAAATGCAGTGTTTTTCTGGCTTTTCAGCTAAAGTACTAACATAAATAAAACATTTGAATCCAATGTAAAGTATTTTTTACTTAATTCAGAATTCACTTACTTATCTTACTTTAGCTTTCAGAGATTTATAAAGCCAGGAAAATGACTTAGAGAACTGTAAACATGGGATAAAGTTATTTGCTATTGGCTTCTAGCTACAACAGAGCTGATGGGGAAGAGGAGAGTTGGTAGCACTAATTCCTGCATGTCCTACAGGGGCTGTGCACTGTTTCCCAATGAAATGATTTGTGAGCTTTTAATTAAAGATGTGCCAAAGTTAGACATTGAACCAGAGTGGCCTTTGGGTAACAAACATCAGCTTTAGCATGGTGCTTATAGTATGCCAGTAAAGGCTTTCAAGGACTGCCCATGGAGACCAGTTTCCAGGGTGTCAAATTGAGAATGGAGCTATATTTAGTGTGTCCTATGAATGTTGGACTGTAATGCAGGTTTGCTGAGGTCAGCTGTGAAAGACTGAAGGCATATGAAGATTCTAGCAAGAAAACTGCAATTTGTTGGACAAAAAATTTCACAACTCATTTCAACAAATTAGTTGATTTAGTTCCCATTGAATAGTGTGCACAACAATAAGGACTTTATGTCATGGAACTACAGATAATTCCCAGGGATACATAGTTTAATGATTAAGGTAGTAATGAGATTGATTACTGGCTTAGCAATGACCAGGAATCACCACAGAAATGGATCTTAATTCACAGAAATGGTAGTCTGTGATGTTGAACATAGTAGAATTTTCTTTCCCCTGTCACTTCTGTATGTCTCAGAGAAATTTTCTCTTGATTTTTTGTTGATCTGAAATTGGGACTTCCTTCCTAGAAGTTTGACGTTAGGTTTCTCACTCTCCTAATAAAGGACCGAAGAAATAACAAGAAATGACCAAACAATCTGGAAAGTTCATTCTTTAAAGTGGCAGTTGTCACCCTTCATTTGAATTCTCTTGGTGGCTTTTAAAAATACTGATGCCATAGTTAGGAGAAAGCTATGGAACATTTTTTTAACCATTTCATGGATAATTCTAACATACACCCAAGACTGAAAATCATTGGCTGGATTGAACAATCTGGTTGTAAATCAATGAGTTCTGCAATGGAAATTAGACCCTCTGGTTTTATCTGCTATTAAAGCTGATCTTCTTTTGCGCAGGGCACAGGAACAAGCATGCCATCGACCACACAGATGGGACAGAAGAGCAGTTTGTAACAGCTTTCCAACAGGTAAACACCTACCGGGGCGACACAGTTGATCCTCACCCCACTGCTGGCCCATTCCAAAGCTAAAGATTTGGTGAGGCTGTACACGCCTTCTCTGGCAGCTCCGCTGTGCCTTTCAAAGACAAATTATAAATGTTACAACCTGAATATTTTTCTCACTGACAAAACTGACAAGGAGGCCCCTGGCCTGTCCCACAGGAACATTCTTGTTCTGAGTCAGTCTTTCTGAGTCTCTGTCCAAACAGCAGGAAAGAACTGGGTTTTTCGATCCTAGAGCCAAAACACAGCTATCTAATTGTTGAACAAACCTTGAGTTATGTCAACCCACATACAGATCCCCCAAATATTACCAGTACAGGGAGGCTATTTTGAAGAATTTTTTTTATTATGCAGGAAAATAAATTGGTAATTTTGTGGGTTACAAGTGTGGTTAAATCTTAAATCATCTTTAGATAACAAGGGATATGAAATTCATATAACAAGCTAGAAGTAGTGTCAGAATGAAAATAAATTTCAATACAATTCCAGGTAGGTGGCTTGGAGTATTTAGATGTGAATGCCTACAGGGCCTGGTGTAGAAGGTATGGCTAAATGATGTCTTAGAGTTGTAATTAATCACTAATAGGAACTAAGAACACTATCTTAATTAACAGGTTATTTCTGGTATGCGAGGGAATTCAGGTTGTGAATTTCTGTCTCATACAGTTTGAGTTTGATAGAAAGATGAGAACACACATTATTTTTTTAACACTAAGATAGGCCCATAACTAAAATTTTCCTGTGTTGGAAATTTTTTGAAACTTAATTTTAAAAATGGAAGGAATCGGCCCTCCCTGGTGACTCAGTGGGTTAAAGCACAGCACTAAGAAGCTAAAGCAACTTCAGTATGAATTCGATCTCTGACTCGGAGGTGATCCACATGGCACTGAAGACCTCTCCTGACCCTCTTACTTCATCGATCTGCCTGTTCTGCTCCCCACTCTGTCTCTGGTGAAGCCTCTCACCGCCCCTGCACCTCAGGCCTGTACCCCCATCCTGTATGCATAAATAAAAATAAATAAAAATAAAATCTTTAAAAAAAAATGGAAGGAATCTATGGTGATGACTCATGGGTGATTTGGTAATGGGAAGCCCACAGGGATTACAACTGAAATGGAAAAAGGCACAAAATGATGTAAAAATAAACTATTATATTTTAAAAAATGGAAGGAATTAGAACTTACAAAGGATACTAAGGAAATCATCAAAATCAACTTTTAAACCAGACTTTTAAACTATTAAACCTGGTTTCAAATAGCTTTCTGACATACACTGTTTTTGTCCCTGATCTATTTGGATGACCTTTTAGACTATTATGAAAGAGTGTACTCAGCCCACACATGCCTTTCATTGATTGTCTTTTTTATCTTTTTTTAAAGATTTATTTATTTATGTGTACAAGAATTGGGGTACAGACCAGAGATGCAGGGGTACAGTGAGAGGATTCACCAGAGACAGAGTGCGGAGCAGAAAAGGCAGAGCTACTGAAATACACTGCTGAGGGGGGCAGTGGGCAAGATAGGAGAGGTCTGCTGTGCCATGTGGGTCACTGCCCTGGCCAGGATCATACTCTGTACTGCATTGGCTACAGATAACTTCATAGTGCTGAGCTTTAACCTCTTGCATCACCAGGGAGGCCCTGATTTCCTCTCTTAGAAACAATCAATTTCCAGTGTAAAAACTTGTCAAAATTAGAATGAGCCAAAGGCATCCACCTCCGCTGAATTATATTAGTTGTTCTGAGTGGGGGTTATGGGAATCTCTGACATTTTAGCCAGTAAGTGAGAAATAGAGGTCTGAGACTTGCAACTAGCATTCAAGTTGGGCAGTCCTGTGTAGGATTTTATCTAAGCATTATAGAGAAGCAATTTAAAGTTCCTAATATTGAATAGATATTTCCATAGTGTTCTCATCTAAATTCACATAGATGAGTCTATTTTTCACATTTGACAAAAAGGTGCTCTAGAGAATCATGACCAATTTAGTAACATTTGGATTAGGAAGACAGGGTGAAGTACAAAGCAGTTAAATTTGAATTTCAGATAAAGAACAAAAAAATGTTTAACAAAAGTATGACCTGTGCAATATTTGGAACATAATTACAAGAAAATTATTTAACGGAGTGTCCTATTTGTTTATTTTCTTGGTAAAAATCTGGTAACCCAAGTATGAAACAGAATGTTTTAGAATGCTAAGTATTGAGATCCACAATTCATTAGAGGAATTAGCATTCTTGTTTAAGAAATGTTCCCTATTTGAAGGAAAAAACCTAATGCATAGGAAGAAAAAAATATGCAAAAAAGCTTACGCAGAATTTGGAAATCCATATTTCGTAAGAACAATGATGTTGACAATAGCCCCTCCGTGTTCTTTCATCCAGGAGTTATAAACTGCAGGATATAGACAAATAACTTTATTAGTGACTAGTCCCTCTGATCCCCTGTTATAGCATGCTTCATTGATTTTTTAAATTTTAATTTATCCGTTTTTAATTTTTTTTTTCTCTTTATTGAGTTATAATAGCTTTTTGTAGGCTCTGGATAGACACCTTCATCAGATATATGACTTAGAAACCTTTCTTCTAGTCTGTGGTTTATCTTTTCATGTTCCTGATGATGTGCTTTGAAACAACAAATGTAGTTAGTTTAAGTTCAATTTATCAATTTTTACTTTATGAACATTTTTGGTGGAGTATTGTAAATTGCTGCCTATCTGAAGGTCATAAAAATTTTCTCCTTTGTTTCCTCCTAAAAGATTTTTACTTTTAGTTTTTGTATTTGGTCCTTGATCCATTTAGTTAACTTATATTTATGGTATAAGGTGAGGATCTTTTATGTGAATATTCCAACATCATTTGTTGAAAAGACTATCATTTCCCCATAAAATTACCTTGGCACCTTAAGTAAAAATCAATTCTCCATAAAACTGTCAAGGGTTTATTTATGATAGATAAACTCGTTATGTACTGGTGATCTATAATTCTACCTTTAACCTAGTACCACATTACCTTTAACCTAGTATATTATGTACCAGTGATCTATAATTCCACCGTTAACCTAGTACTACACTATCTTTAATCTAGTATATTATGTACCAGTAATCTATAATTCTACCTTTAACCTAGTACCACGTAATATAAGGCCTCTGATTTTTTTCTTTTGCAAATTGTTTTAACTGGGCACTTTGTTTTGTGGGTGTTTTCTTTAATTTGATGAACTACTTTGTAGCTATATATTTGCACAGATCCTTAATAATCTTCCCCAATGATTTTCTCATGAAATAGAAGTTATAAGATAAAATGATAGCCATGTTTTAAAATATTGCAAATCACTATTCCAGAAATGTTGCACTTAAGTTCCTATGTCGTACATGAATAAATCGGGACAGTAAAAGTTGATGACATGGAAGTCTGAGTCCCTAACAAGCTCTTAGAATACCGTATGATCGTTAATAAAGACCCTTGAGTTTTAGGTTGTTAATCACACTTGCCTGTTTTGCACATGTAGAAGGTGCCTGTCAGGTTGGTTTCAATCACAGCGTGCCACCCCTTGGCTGTGATGTTTTCTGCAGGAGCTATGAACTGGCCTCCTCCATTGTTTACCAAGAAATTGATCTTACCATAAGTATCTAAAGTGGATTTGACCAAACTGTTCACCTAAAGAAAAACATTAGCAGTAAACTAATTAATAACCTACCTTGCTATTTGACCTATGGTTTGCTTTAAGAGAACAGCTTGCACAGTCAGTGCTAACTCTAAGTCACACAGTATCTACCGATCTTAATGCTGTATTTGTAATTTTGATGACAAGGTTTATCCAAGGGCCTGGACTATCCCTAAATAGTACAAAGCTCCACTGTATGAATTTATAAGCTACCAACTCAGAATAATGGAAAGAGATGAAGTCAGACTAAAATTAACATTAAGATGGCCCTCCCTGGTGGTGCAGCAGGTTAAAGCGCCGCTTCAGTGTGAGTTCGATCCCTGCCCCCGAAGGCAATCCACATGGCACATGGCACAGCAGACCTCTCCTGCCTTGCCCGCTGTGTACTTTGGAATATAGGCCAGAGGTGCTAGGGGGTGAGAGGATTCACCAGAGACAGAGTGGGGAGCAGAACAGGCAGGTGTACTGAAATGGACTGCTGAGGGGAACAGCAGGCGAGACAGGAGAGGTCTGCCATGTGGGTTAGCTACTTGGCAGGGGATAGAACTCAGGCCACAGTAGTGCTCAGCAGTACACCCTCAGCAGTGTACTTTGTCAGTCTGCCTGATCTGCTCCCCACTCTGGTGAATCCTCTCACCACCCCGTGCCTCTGGCTTGTACCCTAGTTCTTTATGCATAAATAAATAAACCTTTTTAAAAATTAACATTAAGAAATAACTTAAGAGGCAAAAGGCGCAAAAGATAGTCACTAGCTAAAAGCTTGTCCTTGCTTATTTTCCCCATCTTGCTTCCCTCTCTTCCCCAGAGCAGTCACTCAATAAACCATTAGCAAAAGAATCTCCTCCATAGACTCTACTTTTAGTGAGATTCACCTAAGTGATTCTACTAAAGGAAAACCAAAACATAGTCAGGGTTAGGAGTCACTACTACAAATTAAAATGAATGAATAAACAATATAAGTAGATGCACATTACCTCTTCTTCTTTACGGATGTTGCATTGTATGGGAGTGATTTGGGCCTTGTTGCCAGGAGTTAGGTTGGCTTTCAGTTCATTTGCAGTAGATTTTAATCTATCAAACTTACGGGATGCAATGACCACATTACACCCTGGGAAGAACACAGGCAAAGAACAAGTAAATATGTTTACATTGATAACCTAAATTCCAAACTAATAATGCCGTAAAATATTTCATGGGTTGCTATGACTAAAATACTGGACCAGAGAAATGCAACCATGATTTTTCAGGCATTGGACCATCAGAGCACAGAGCATAGAGATCTCAGAGAGTAAAACAATGTGAGCTCCAAAGTTAGTTGAGGTTGCTGCATGGAGAGTTTCCTACCTGCAGCACAGGGAGAAGGAACCATTCAAGCCCAGGAGGTTCCTGGGTAGAACAGTCTAACCTGGGCCTCTGGGGAGGCAAGACAGAGAGATTGTACAGGGTACAGAGAGCAGAGAGGGGCACAGAGCAAGAATTCTAGACATTTTCAGAGTGTTCCATCCAGCCTTCAGCTCGTCGCTATCAGTACTTATAATTAAAGAAATATTTTCAGCTGGAGAACAAAGCACCCAGAATGAGCAGAAGGAACAGACCCAGGCTCACACACAGCACTGCAGATAGTTTGTGTTCCCACCAGGAAAATTTTTCCTGAGGCATCGAGTAAAGTACTAAGAAGAGTGTGGGCTCTGTAGTAAGGAAAATTAGCCCTAGACAGGTCCACCATTAACATAAAGCAAGTCCTTTTTTAAGTGCTAACCTGTTTCCAAGTAACCTAATTGCATCCCAGAACAAAGTTCCAAATATTTATAAGAATATAAAACTTATAAACAACCAGCTCCCCAACGAGGTAGATTCAAATGTCCTTCAGCCTCTTAAACATGCAAAGAAGCAGAAAAAAACACAATACATAATGAGAAGAAAATTCAGTGTATTAAAACAAATCCAGAGATGACACTGGTGATATAATAAACCAGTAATAAGGACGAAGTTCTCTTTTATAATTAATTTTTAATTTTCTTACATTGTTGTTCATTTTTCATTTCTCCTGTCAGGTGCAGTTGCTGTAAATATCCTGCTACCATATCACCTGTGACCCATCACCATGGTCCCCTGTGCTCTTATACCCTTGTTTTGATCCCTTTCCTTCCCCTCTCCCTGCAGTAAGCCTCATGTAAATAGTTACCTACAAGTTTTGTGAGGCCTTTTTTTGACCCTTTGTTTGTTTTTCCTATATTCCCAGGACAAAAATCTTAAGTATTAGCGAAAGGAAACACGTAAGTACAAAACAAAAGAGGCAAAGAAGACAGAAGACTGTTTTTCAGAAACAATGTAAGCCAGAAAAAGTGGAATATCTCGAAAGACTTGGGAGTTTGTGGGGGGATTTGTGGGAGGTCTATGAGTCTAGAAATCCTGACCCAGTAAAAACAGCTTTCAAAAGTGACAGCAAAATAAACGTGTTTCCTTTCGCTAATACTCAAGATTTTTGTCCTGGGAATATAGGAAAAACAAACAAAGGGTCAAAAAAAGGCCTCACAAAAGGCCTTTGTTAATACACAAAGCATACACACAAAATAGCCGGTAGACTTCATTAAAGCAACCTGCACTACAAAATAGATAACCAGATGGAAATCTAAATCTACAGAAAAGTAGAAAGAAAGAACACTAGAAATGGCAATTAAGTGAGCAACTACAAAGACTTTTCTGCTTCCTAGTCAAATCACCTTAAAAGGTGTGATTAATTACAATAAAAATGATTAGCCTGTTTTTTTTTT